TGCTTTTAACCCATCAACAAAAACCTAAGCTGTGTTACAAGTGTGGTACCAGAGGTGGGACCAAGTTATTGTCTTGCCAGTCACAAGTTGTTGCACTCAACTCCCAAATCATAATGCACTCTTCACCAAATGTATGAACACAACGTAGTTTTTGTACATAAACAAAATTATCATTTTCCCAAATGGTAACATTAGTTCTTCATGGCTCCTGCAACTTGACTGGATGCTATCAGATTACAACAATCAGCGTTAAGTGTTATGTAATTCAGGAAATTCCTTATTTGTGGCACATTTTTTTGTATTTTGTTCCCACCTCTGTATGGTACATTACTGTAGCTTTGACCTAATCTGGGCCCAGTCTGTTGACATTACAACACAGAAACTGTGCACAAGAAGCACTTACCTTCAGTAGAGAGTACTGAGCTATCATCCCAAACGGTCCCGTCAGATATTCATCCCAAACTATGGCCTGAAGAGCAAATGCACATAAAGTTATGTACGAAAAATAACAATAATATATGTTTCTTTATTCTTGTACATAGTGTTTTATTATTTCCCTACTCTTACTGTTTTTTATACTGTTTTTTCTCTATCCACTTTGCTGCTGTAACATTGAATTTCCCCACAAATAAAGGAATTATCTATTATCTATCTATCTATCTATCTAATGATTATAACCTATGATTTACTAATGGTTGCAATAACAAACACTGAATTGTCAGATAATGCACACAAAACACAACTATCTCTCAACATAAACTGCAGTATTGTGTATTTTAACCAGGTGTTTTACAAGCATTGACAGCTCCTTGCTACAATGCTGAGGCTGAGGAGGCTATGTGGATGTGGATAAATGTCTAATTGTCGCTGTTTCGGCCTCGTTTTCCGTGTTTATGCGTTTATTACCTTGCTTCCCGCACATTTATCCAAAAACTCCCGAAGCTCCTTTCGTGCTGCTTCTCTCAAAATGTTTAAATTAACTCTTCCGTACGATAGATGAGCAGCCATCTTTCTGTTTCAACAGCAACACAAGAAATCAGGTGACCGCGGCGCTAAAAACTCACGTGATCAAAGAAGATACAACGTCAAGATAGTTCACACATCGTAACGCGACCGTAAACCCCAGTTCCCTCCAGCATATTAATACTTTCCGTCTGTTAGTCTGAACATCTTTAAATGTGAAATCTTCCTAAATAAAGGTAGCTAACTTGCTAACAGGATAGCTATCATCTTTGGCTTACAACGGTCGCTAATTCGAGTTGCGCATGCGTAAGAAGTATCCGTTAAAAAACTTATTTTTAAGCCAGTTTTGGGACGTATCTACGTATTTCATGCATAACTACCAGTAGATTGAACATATATTAAACATTTATGTGTATATAATGTAGGTCAGAGTAACTATTCTTCTAATTTGAGTGTTTTTAATGTGGGATGTGAATGCGGAAGTACGACGGGATTAACCTCTTGCTTCGCCTGCAGTCTTTGGCTGTGTGTAGGTGTGGCAGACATACACTGTAATCACTAAAAACAGAGCCTGTAACACTGTAAATACTGATTAATTTCACAGTGAGTGTGCTTTTATGTATTTTTTTGTACATATTCCACTAAAATACATTTAGTAATAAACGAAAAGGGGGTTCAGTTCCTCCTTTCTTTGGTGCAATGAATACTAAATCCATTAGATGGCGCAATGTCTCCACACTATAAGAATAAACGTGGAGGTAGGCTATTGTGATTGAGACGTCGATGTTAGAATTTCAGGGGGTTATTTTTTTGGAGATTAAATTGTTGCTGGAAAAACAATATAGTAACGCAACTCATGGGACTGTAAAGAAAGTGCCAGCAAATAATATTTACTTGCTGTTAAAACAGGATATTTCTGATATTTCTCCATAGTTGTGGAGGATGGAAAATAAACACAAAATAAAAAAAGCAACATAGATAAGTAAAGAATAGTAACTCAACTCTATTAAAAGCACTGTAATGGGAATAAAACTTTCCACAAATGTGATCCTGTTGTAATGTGAATGTTAAAGCGCACTTATAAATATAATTACTATTATTAAAACGACTCCTCAACAGGGCTGCATGGATGATGAGACAGATTTAGCTACTATGCGCTGTTATAATAGACAATCCGATCAGGTGATGACTGTCCAATTAAGCATCAGTGTTATCACTTCAGATCCAGGGGTTTCCTTCCCAGGGTACCAAGGGCTTTCCATCCTCCACGCAGGATAGAAGACTGAGTTCCCACGCATTGTGGAGGTCCGCTGTGCCTCTAGCAACAGACTACTCCTCCAAGGAGAAGAAAAAGAGAGAGAGAGAGAGAGAGAGAGAGAGAGAAAAGCACACGGGTTTTGGTGACAGGCACCATGCGCAATGACTGACTCTGTGGTGGGATCCAAGCGCCGCGCAGAAATTTAGTCCGCATCATTCCCTGACAGCTCCCGGAGAGAGGAGGAGAGCAGGGCTGGATTCTCAGGTAGGCTATATCATCTCCTTCGAAGGATTTTCAAACATTGCATTCTCCAACCTAAAAAGCACTGTGAGCTTATACTGCGTTTGGCCAGTGACTCAGTGCTTTAGAATTTCTCAATTACAAGTTGAATGAATGCAGCATTTCATTCACAAGACAGAGATGGGCTGCTCTCTTATAAGGGGATTTCATTGCCTGTATTTATTCATTTGATGGAGCACATTTTTGCTTTTATGAGCCAGCTGCTCACTGAGTCATTGGAATGAAAGGGGGGACATTTGTGTGGTTGTGTGCGGTGGAAGTGTGCATGGAGCTGCTGCTAATTAACCTATGTGAGGTACAAATTATGTAAATGACGTTTGATTGATTCCTTTGTTTTATGGAAAACATGTCTCACTGTAACACTGCTCTGCAGCAGAATGTTTGTGTCATTCACGCAGAGGTGTTCATGGAGCTGATTACCTTCTTTGAATTGTTGCATTGATTTTACTACAGCATGCTTTGGTGTTGTGATTATGTACTCATGAATGGCTGATAAATATAACTCTTGGTGGAGCTAGATGGGCTGTTGTTAAATCCCCCCTTTCAGATGAATGGTGGCTGGCTGCACTCCTGCAACACGGGTGCTTCCTTGTTGCAGATCTGATATAAGAAAGCAGAACCTGGTAAGTCATGTGGGAGATTGTGGTTGCGGTCCCTGGGCGTTGCTGCAGGATTTTTAGGAGCGCACGGTGGTGCTTCATGTGCCTGCAGACTAGGAGGAAAACATCAGTGATGCCTCCAAATGCTGATGTGGGCAGGGCAGCTCTCAACTCCAGCTGTGCCACAGGACAGGTGATCCCGTCGCCTACTTGTTGTGATATTACCTCATCCTGCACCCCCGGGGTTTTACACTTTGTGGGTCAGAGCAGGGCGCGTTGTAAATAGACTTATTGGACCAAACCGGTTCATTGCTTCTGGTGTTAATATGGAAGGAGAACAGAGGAAAAAAAAGAATCCGCCTCTCGGTTCCTCCATCTCCAACTCCTCCTACAGACCTGAAGCATGGGGATTAAATGGGGGAGGGGAGAAAAGACTGAATGAACAGTGTGAGAGATATCTGCAGCTGCCTCCTCTCACATGAGCAACCACAGTAGTGATTGGACGACACCCTTATGCTGGTACCTCTCTCTCTCTGTATTTCTCTGTCTCTTTGTCAGCCCACTGTTCTCTGTCCAGTGAAAGACTGGAATTAGGCAAGAGGGAAAAGGGGAAAATTGTTTCTGTGGACATAAAACAAGAGAAAACGAGAGATGAACAGCACTAGGAAACATGGGTGTTTAGGGAAAAGGTGGAAAAAGATGGAGCAAGTGCTCTGCAACACTAACTGCATTATTTAAAGCAGAAGCATACGAGGCGACTGTACCCATAATCCCACGTCTTCTTCGTCTTCCTCTCTAACCATGCTGTCTTTTTCAACTATGACTGTTACGAACCACCCTAGCTAGATGCATAATTCCTGACAAACTGCAACCAAGTTTATTGATGTGAGAGATGACACTATCATTGCAACAGTGACCCGTTCTGCATGGGCTTTGAAATCTGGCACAGGTACAAGTCTTACTACAAAACACACAGACGCACAGGCACACACACACACACACACACACACACGCACACACACACAGCTTTTAATCATTCTGATTCTCGTCTTCTGATCTTGCTGTTACCATGGCCACAGTTGGTAAAGGTGCATGACTCTATGTTCCTCTGTGCTCTTCACAATCCATATATGGAGCTTAGAAACCAAATCATATGTTCTACTGGAAATATCCGTCGGTTTCTGTGCCCTGCGTTTGAGCATATTTCTTGAATTTGTTGTACGAGAGACATTTTTTTCTGCCATTTGTGGCCGAGCTTCAGAAGGGAGTGGCTTCATCTTCAAAATCTCATCAGAGCGGTGGATGAGAATCGATTCACCAGCCTCTCTGAAACTGGTGATTAGATCTCCCTAAACACTGTGGCATATTGGAAAAGACAGAATGTAATTAATGTGGCCTTTAAACAAAGTTCCCCCAAGAGAGCAGGGAGTTAAAACAGAATCGGGCTATGGTCGAATCCATAAACACCAGCCCATCTGTAAGCGACATTTCTGTCCAATACAATTTATAAGCTCCGACACTTATATTCAGCTGATTATAATCACCTCTGTGCGTATGTTGTAGCTGCGGTAGTGCTCTTGCCCCCAGAAGCTCCGAGTGACGTCTAAATAAACAAACTTTGAATTTCAAGTCACATAGCCGAGCTTCCCAACAGGGGTTTTGTCTCAGAAGTTGGGCCAAAGCTTATTTTTAGTGTCGCAGTGTTTCCAGAGAGGAACAGGCTCTCGTTTGCCAACAGAGATCCGCTAAAAACACCCAGGGGTATTGTACCTGCTGGTTTGCTGGTGGGACAAGAGGGAGGGTCAGATATCCAGCAGCTGAACGGTGCCAGATCTTCAAAGCAAAGGAAGAAAGAGACAGAATCACGGCAGACACGCTGAGGGGATCGATAGGAGATCTGATTCCTTTCTTTTATATGTAGTTTATCTCAACGGACCACCGGCTGTAGGTCACTTCTGGTTAGTGGGGAATAAATGCGTAGTATCTTTACAGCAGACCTTTACTGCACTGATTTAATGTCGCTGTCTGGTTGTACTTGTTTCGCTGAGATAAGATGGGAGGAAATTGAAGGAGCATGACTGGCCAATGCATCAGCAGCCGGTTCTCAAAATCCCACCTCTTACCTCTGGGGCATACAGGGATGAATCACCATCAGCCAAGCAAATTTAAGACTTACTGCAGGCTCTGGCCGGAGTGCAATTAATTGAGTGCTCTATAGCCATTTACTTCCATAGTTCTAAAATAAGGCCTGGATGAAAGAAGCCTCTGAATTACATCAAAATGTGATTCGGCGGATATTTGTCTGCTGTACTTGAGGGTGATTGCTAAATATGAGACCTATAGGATGTGGGCTGCTAATTCAGTGTGCATTGTGTTGATTTAAGAATGAAATTCACAGCCCCCGACCCCGTTTAGGTCTGTTGCAGAGGGCCAACAGTGATAGCAGGATAACAGCACGGTAGCTTGTTGGTCAGTGGCTGGTCTTTCCTGTTTGTTCTCCAGCGATGCGGGACCTGGAGCCATGCCTGCTGAGAGGATGTAGTTGTGTGTGCTTGAATCGGTGCAACACTCTCACATTTGAGAGGTGAAGAGTCCTCACAGATGGTTCCACAGATGGTCCCTGTCAACACCGTTGTCTGACTGAAAACATGGATAATTTGTCGAAGCCACGGACCTAAAAGGCTAACTAACATCCCTACTGTTTCCCAAAATAGAGTTCAGTAATTTCTCAATCTGTCTGACCCTCTGTGGTCTTTTTCTCCCCAAAATCCACTGTTCTGTATGTAATGTCTGATAGAGATCAGAGTAAAGAAAGCATTCACTAATGCCTTAAAGAGGGGACTTACACAGAGTGAAAAGCAATGGGGGTGGGAGTTGTAAATAATTAAAAAATGCTGAGTGATGTTTTCCTCCTGCAGTGGAGGGCTTCTTGGTGCAGTGCTTTACAATCTATGCCCAGGTCCAGACCTCAGTGTGCTGCTATATTGGCATCTCAAAGTCCCTTTATGGGGGATGAATGGAGTTGTTTCAATGCAACTGGGAGTGGGTGGCTACCTCGTGGTTTTTTTTTTGGTCCTTCCCACCCCGTCTCCCCACTCGCCCTGCGTGCCTGGTGTGTCAGCATTAGACATCAGCAGCTGAATACTGTGAGGAGACCAAATGATCTGCTTTTTGACCATCTATTTAGTAGATAGATTGGCACTCATAACCCTTTAAAGGTCCAGTGTGTAACATTTAGGAGGATCTTTTGGTGGAAATGTAATATAATGTTCATAAGTGTGTTTTTATTAATGTATAATCAACTGAATATAGGAATTGTTGTGTTTTTGATACCTTAGATTGAGTCCACCATGTTGAACCACCATGTCTCTACAGTATCCGCAACTACACCAATAGATGCCATTAAATCCTAAACACTGGACCTTTAAGTTGGTTGTAGTCCAATAATCCATAGTGTACTACTTGTGTTTATGGTCCAATCAGCTGTGTGGTGGACTTTATTGTCTATAAAAACTGTCTACACAGACCTTAAATATCTTCTTGACATTAGAACCACCAACCACCAGCCCACACGTGTCACTACAGAATGTGAAGAGGCAGCTGGTTGCACTTTCTGATGACATGTAACCCACGTGTGAGTCAAGGTATTGTCAACTAGTTCATGTTTTAGTGAAGGTCTGTAGATGACTCATAACTCAAACTCTAAATTGGTAAATTTCACTTCTGATTGGCTCTCATATAAGTCTGTATTTATAGTGTGAGTGAAGAAGAGATTTAAAAGGAGAAAAAAAAGGAAGAGTCTTCCCTGCTCAGGCATAATGTTCCAGATCACCACGGGACTTGAGTCGAAACTGTAGACCGGCCAAGACTCTCCTGTCTGAGGATCTCAGGCTGTTTCATAATATATAAAACAATCTGAGTAACCGCCAGGCCAGATGGTGGAGGAAGAAAGATTTGTAAAAATAAAATGCTATTTTCCTTCTCTTCTTTAACCCAGCTATTTAGATTTCTTTTTGCAGTTTCAACATTTAAGCTGAAAATGTATGCAAATGTATTTTGTATTCCACATTTTTTTCATTACCATACCAAACATCCATGCTTCGCAATATCTTTTGCATAGATGAATCCTTTTAGTGTTGCTTGATGTTGCTCACAGTTTCACAGTGTTATAAATTATGAATAAAAAGTCACACAAGGCAGTGTAAGCCCGCTAATGGCTAAGTTTAAAAAAATGTTACAGCTAAGCTAGTTTCTTGCAGCACTGTGAAATATTGGGTCTTTTTAATAGGAAAAAAACACAGTGTGTTATTGCTGGCGAAACATTACTGGTCACAGCAACCTGAAAAAAGCCAAGATTTATCCAATCATTGGTAGCTCAGCATCAGCACCACAACATGTTTTGGAAGAAAGTGCTGATTTGAGCCCACTGGGACTCTGCACCGGCCAATGGGAAGGGTTGTTGGTGAGCGATTGGGTGGTGGCTACAGCAGAGCTTTGAGCCAACGTTATACATAAGTAAGTTTTGCCCCGAGGCGTTAAAACACGAATGGAGGCCGAATGAAAGATAAATTAAAATGAAGCCAATTGTGGGACTTTGCATTGATCTCCGATTCTCATTAACCCATTTTAGAAATGTCCTTCTTGGATGATGGCGAGGGAATTGTTGACCTGGAATTCAAGCGCAGTACTATGTAGTGTTTCAATGTCATTATATGCAATATGAAAAAAAGGACACATAGTAGGATGTAAAAAAATCTGATCAATATATGGTTTCCTGTCAATTTATTAATTATTTTATTGTTACAGCACAAATTTATGTAAAACATTGGAGTAAAATCTTTGCTTTTACCCAGCTTTTTTCTTTTTTTTTTTGATCTCAGTACAAGAGAGATGTCTCTCTTCCCTCTATCCCCACCCCCCTTAAGCGCTCAGTGCTGTGTCCATAACGATCCATGTGGGATCAATCCACCAATGCCCCGCTGCCTTGTTGTCACTCTTTCTGCTTTCTTCAGTCCTTGATTCCACAAGCAAACCAAAAATCTTAAAAGAATTGACGGGCTGTCGGCCTGAACAAGGTGCTCTTATTCTTGTCTTCTCCTTTTTTTTCTGTCATATGTTCTGCAGTAATGACTCATACACCTGCTATTGAAAGTCACATAACACTGTTAATTTGTGCAAGTGCTTAATGAGACTTGAAGCTTGTTTCTCATGCTGAGTGTTCACCTCAAGTATCCAAAGAGAATGCATGCCTGTGTTTCTAAAAATGGATGGAAAATGTGTAGGGTGTGCTCTGGGAGTTGTGTATGCATACATCCCTGAAGGGGTATAGATGCAGATTTGTATTGACTATCTTCTCGGGCCCTGAGGAGGAGACACAGTTTTCTAAACTGGTCCTCTCCACCCCCATATGAAATTATATACTGGAGAGATCCTGCTGGGAGGATGACTTATGATGATCGAGCAGATGACTGGCTTGAGTCGATGCTCTCCCTCTGGTCTTTCCTGTTGTCATCTCGCACATGGTCTGTTACTATTCATGCCTGGTGTATTTGTAGACGCTGTTGTGTGGTTGCTTGCACAGTTCTGGGCACCACTTTGGAGACCGCCACGTCTGAAAGCCTAGTCACTGAGGCTTCATGACATTTTGGAAAAGAGAAAAACACCACAGGAAAATATCTGCTGCTCCCCAGAGAAGAATCCACCACCTGACTGAGTCATCTCATTTGGGAGGGAAACACGTAGAGGAGGATTGATGCACCGAGTCAGATGACGCAGATTAGTTGCATTTATAACCTCAGTACCACAGAGGATGACAGTCTGAGGGTCGCAGTGATGTCATAACTGCAGAATAACAAGGCTCAATATGACATTTTGGTCAAGACAGTCCATTATAATTGGGCTCAGATACATTCATGATTATGTACTTTTAAAACCATCAGATGTAAACCCTTTCTGACTGCACAGTAGATGAAACCAAGCTGTACTTTTCTTTGTTTAAAGCTGCAAAGCCCATACTGACAGCTCTTTATGAGAAAAGTCCACGTATACGATCCTTCAGACGATCTCCTGAATGCTAATTGGCTTGTCACCTCAGCAAAGAATCCACTTCTGTGATGCGGTAACATCCATCCCCAGCACCAGAGAGCTCTGATTTGTCTGAGTCAGTGATTACCCAGCCAAAGTCTAAATGCCCCCCTCCCATCTGTCTCTCTCCATCCAACCTCTCCAGGACAAGAGTGTTAAACAAAAGTGGGATTATTCATTTTGGCAAGTGACACTTGAGAGCCTGGGTGTGTGTATATGATATATATATTGTACAGTGAGAGTAATGTCTGAACCGTCAGACTGCTGAAAAGTGGGAAAAGACAAATGCTCCCCGGGGACTGTGTTGCCACTGTTGACTGGATGCAGCAGCAGCATCAGAGGGAAAAGCCCACACCCAGAGCGTCTATTGATAGCACAGCGAATTTGTTGTTATTCTGTGAATCCCGCAGGCAGTGCAGCAACAGATTAGAGCTCAAAAGGTATGTAGCCTGGCGTTACGCAGCATAATACGAGCAGCTGAATGAGGGAGACGGCGGCGCACCCCTCCCTTTCTCTCCCTTTTTCACTTTCTCCAAGGTTCTTCAGCGCCGGATTTTACTGCTGTGAAAAGCTGAACACAAGTGAAACTTATTGATTTTCCTTTTAGCCTTTATCATTACGCATTCCTTACTGTAGCTCTCCCACTCCCTCCAGCACGATACCTGCACTCTCCTCATCCTGCACATCACAATTCTTGATATTTGAGGCTCCGGAGAGGCTTTTACTTCCTCTTGTTGCTCCTCTTCAGGGCCCGCTGGTCCTCTCTGGCTGCTGGTACTTCCCCTCAGGACATACACTGCTGTATCTTCCGGCCTGTGGTTGCTGCAGCATCACTCTTTCTGTATTTTCTGGCAGACACTTGAAGTCAATTGCACAGCCCCCCCCCCC